TCTGTTATGCAAAATATATTTCCGTACATGACTGCAAGATTTCATAACATTTTCAGAAAGCTATAAATATTGAACTGTTCCAGTATCACATAGTTTTAAGCTTTGAGTTGCATTGATTGAAAAAAAAATAATTATTTAAAATATTTTTAAATTAATAAAAATATTTTACAATTTTAAAAATATTTTACCTCCCTCTTTTAATTATTTATTTATTAGTTTTTTATATCTTACAGATTATGCCAACTTGGGAACAATCTATTATGCATAATTTAAAAAGTTCATATGTGCAATTTGCTTGTCCTCCAAGATTATATGTTTTTAGGAAATACCAGCAAATTCCACCTGAAAACTGTGAGTTCAGTATTCCTGCGTGTCTTGGGAATAATTCAGCATATTTAGGAGCTGCAGCGCTGTGCTTTTTTAAAATGTGATAAAATATACACAAAGTGTCTGACTGCACCCCACCCTGTGTAGATCATTAGCATGTACATAGAGCTGCAACACTGTTCTCTGTCTGTAACACGACCCCCTCCAACGACCGCCGGCACTGTGATGATCGTCTCTCATGGTTTTAATAGATGCCTGGCTGTGCACGCACACACACACACACACACACACACACACATGCATTGCTCATTCGCACATCATCTGTCTTTGAACATCAGAATGTGTAATTATTTTGTCTGGAGGGTGTGTGTGTGTGTGTGCGCATATTGAAGATGCCGGGATGGCCTGCTACCCAGTTTAACCCTGGGAGAGTGTGTGTCCTCCTGGGGAGATGTGAAGCGTCATGTCCTGCCAGGCATGAGCGTGTTTTTAAAGCTGGATCTCCAGGGAACGACAGACTGCTAGAGGTTTGAAGCCACTGAACCCAGAGTTTGATTGGCCATGTGAAATATTCTGTGCATGACGGTGAGATTTCATGCAGTTTTCAGAAAGCTTTAAATATTTAACTGCTCCAATATCACATAGTTTAAGCTTTGAGTTGCATGTCATATGCATCGATTGAAACCTCAGCCGATCTGCTACACTGAGAAAAAATTTGATGTTGACACTGTTTTCTCTCAGAAATTGCTGGCAAATTTCACAAACAATTACAAAGGCAAGAAACGCATTGAACTGAATGTAAAATTTTGAAGTAGAAAAACTGAAATAATATTTTCTTGTAAAATGCACTCTGATGATCTTAGAGAAATCTGTTTTTTATTTTTCAGTGTAGTTTTGTTCTGTTCAAATCAGTTGTTTATGTGTAATGGGTTTTGGATTTGTAATTGATCCTTTGTGCATTTCCTCTCTTGCCGTTTGCCTTTAAAGACAGCAGGAATTATCATTCACAATGCATTCATTTATGAGTGAAACCAAATATTGCTTTTTTTCCGTGAGGTTTTAAATGCATACAGTATTTTAAAAGAAAAGTTCACCCTATAATGAAAATGACTGAGAATGTACTCACCCTCAGGCCACCTAAGATGTAGATGAGTTTTTCTTCATCAGATCAGATTTGGAGAAATGTAGCATTTCATTACTTTCTTACCAATGCATCCTCTGCAGTGAATGGGTGCTGTAAGAATGAGAGTCCAAACAGCTGATAAAAACAACACTATAATCCACAAGTAATCCACACCACTCCAGTCCATCAGTTAACATCTTGTGAAGCCAAAAGCTGTGTTTGTAAGAAAAAAATCCATCAAGACATTTTTAACTTGCTTCTTTTTTAACGAGTCCTTTATCCGTAATAACGCTTTCTCCGGTGGAAAAAGTCATCTGGTCTGAATCAGGAGAGAAATCTGAAAACTTTCATTTTTGAGTGAACTATTCCTTTAAATTCTGCCCAGCATTTTGATGAAAGACTGAAAACAAACATTTGTATTTTCCTTCCAATAATGTTTATTGGGAAGGCAAAAAATGGTTTAATATCATATTAAAAAGGCCACTGTGAATGTCTCTCCCCGTCTAGAGTTGACGAATGTTTGGTCGAGAGACTCTGATCTCAGCAGTCTTGTTATGAAACAGATCTGTCATGTCTGTGAGCCCATCGCAGTGTCAGAGTCGAGTGTTTGGACATCAGACAGACATTCAGATGAGTTTCTCTGAGGTGCAACAGAAGGACGTGTGTGAACCAGAGAGACAGCTTTATTTCATTTATATGGAATGTCTTCACTGGAAGAGAACTGCATAAAAAGTAGGCTGTGTCTCAGACTGAACGCCCATGCATGCGTCTTGCATATTGCTTAAAATAATAAATGCAAATTGGACACAAATATTACTATGCGCCATGCACATGATGCAGACTGAGTTGATTTAGTATTTTTGAGGAAGAACTAACTACAGGATTTGAAAAGTTTATTTTGTTTCGAGGTATTAGTCTTTGTTTTTTGAATTATGTCAATGACATAATGTCTGTTTTTGTACAGACAGGAATTCTGGTTACAAACTCTGCGCACACATTTAACTATTTTCAGCAGTTTTATTCTGTTCAGACAGACTTTTTTTATTTTTTTACTATGTCAGTCTATTATTGTGACATCAGCTATTTCAGATAAACTAATGTTAAAAACGTGAAATCTGATTGGCTGCTTGGCATGTCAATCAAATGCGCTCATTCTTTTAATGTTTGGTTGTGTGAGACTCCATTTTTTTTCCAACTAAAGCTATTAAAAATGTGTTTCAGTAATTAAAATAAAATAAAATAAGAATGAAAAACCAGAACTTAAAAAAAAAACTTTTTTTTTAAGTTCTAAAACTAATTGTACACATCCCCGGATGTAACTAAATGTAATTTTAGTAACTAAAATGACTAAAATGGAAATAAAAATAAATTAAATCTAAATAGAAATTGAGCTATTTAATAAAAAAAGACTATTGGAGTATATTTTACAAGAAAATACAATTTCATGCTTTCTATTTCAAAATTTCCCATTTAATTCATTGTCTTGCAATTTTCTGCAATTATTTGTGAAATTTATTAGCAATTTGAGTGAAAATTGTTCCTAGATCACATTTTTTTCAGTGTAATAAAAATGACAAAAGCACATATTAAAATAGCTAAAACCTAAAGTAAAATTAAAATAAAAAAATAAAAGCTAATTCAAAATATGAATAAACACTTTTTAAATAACACTAGGTATTAAAACTTTTAAAAAGAGATTCATAGCAGAAGCAATAATATTAATAGTCTTAGACATGTTAGCAAAATGAATATTGTTTTGTGCCTCTGTGATGCATTTCTGACACGTGCATGTTTTAAGATGCTTTCAGTGTAATTTTAGTCTCCGGATCAGACATCTTGTGTCTGTAAACACCCTCTCACGCGTCTTTGTTTGCTACCATTTTCCTAACACCAGCTTGAACACGAGATTAAACGGCGTGTGTGCCAGTTCTGTCTCTGCGTGGCTTCACGGAGGTAATGAAAAGCTGCTTCTGGCCTTGCGTCGCAGGTCTCATGCAGGCCGTTTCACGCAGCTGGAGGCAAATTAACCCGCATTTCCCAAACCTGTCAGGTGATTCGAACGAATGTCACAACACCAGCATTTAATTAGCGTGAGGCAGGAGTAATCAGAAACCCGCTCTAGGAGTCTATCAAGAAGAGCCCAGAATTCACTTCTTCTTACATGCTCAAACTGGACCTGCTTGACAGGGCGAATCCATAAATTCACGATTCCTACATTTATAGCAGCGGCTATTTTAATAGCTGTGCTTCCGTCACTCCTCGCAGAGAGACGAGAGCTATTCTCATCCTGATGAATGATGCTTTGTTCTGTGTGATCTCACTTGAGCTCAGAAAAGCCCACCTTATCTCTGTCAGCATGCTGTTTTAGTATTATTTATTTTGGACTGGAGTATTTATTCATATTTTGAATTCGATTTTATTTTGATATTTGGTTTTCATTTTAATGTCAGTTTAAAATGTAATGATTTTATGTCCTTCTGTCATTTTGTTCGTTTTTTTAATATTTCTGTTTAGCTTTAATTTTTGTATATTTTTAGTAGTTTTTACTCTAATATTTTATTTCAGATTTATTTCAATGAATGAAATCTTTATTAAATCATTTTAATTAACAATTATGTCACTAACTGCACAAATAACCTGATAAAAAATAGCAGTTAATTTGTTTAGAGACATTGCTAATTAGGTTGTATTTTTTAATTTTAACTAGCATTTGTTTAATAGAATGAAGAGAATCATATATCTGCACTTTTTTGTTTGTTTATTTGCCAATTCTGATTGTTTTTTGCAATTTTTATGGAGTTTTATGCAGTACAGTACTACTGAATTGTGGTATAAAACTCAGAATTGTGATATAAAGTCATAATTACGAGATATAAACTCGGATTTACAAGAAAAAAGTGAGAATTCAAGAGTTTACATATCACAGTTCAACTTTTTTAATTGCATAATTGTAATTGCGACTTTATAATCTCACAATTCTGACTTTTTTCTTGCAATTGCAAGTTTATAATTCTGACTTTATATATCAGAACTGCAAGAGAAAAGTAAGAATTTTGAGATATAAATTCAGAATTGCAAAAAAAAGTCAGAATTTTGAGTTTACATCCGGCAGTTCAGCTTTTTAAATGGCATAATTGTAATTGTGACTTTTTATCTCACAATTCTGACTTTTTTTTGCAATTGCCAGTTTATATCTCGCAGTTTTGCTTTATTTTCTCCCTCAGAATTGCAAGTTTACATCTCGCAACTCTGACTTTGTCTGAAAATTGTGAGGAAAAAAGTCTGAATGACCTTTTTGATTTTTTGCATTCAGTAGCGGAACCAAGTTTCCATTCGTTTTAGAGTGGGAAAGATGTTTTGAAAGGGTTAATCAGGTGGGATTTGTGCATCAGCAGCATTTAGCCTGTTTCCAGTCATTATTGCAATTAAAATAAATGGGATTTTGAGTTAATTAGATCTATTTCTGTAATCAGAACCGCTCACTGTAGCTGCAGTTGGCCTGTAGACATGAAAACCAGGAGTAATTGTGCCAGTGTTGAGTGTTTGAAGGATGCAGCAGCCAGGTGAGGATAAAACAGTCAAACACTGTCGAGATCAGTGACGGTACCATGACAAACCACACTGATGACGTCTGATGTCTCGCCGGTACGTCACAGGACAGCCATCAGGTGTTTATCATGTCATTTAATTGTAGACGACCTGATAAACAGAGCGCTTACTCACAGGTACACACTAGAACTTCCTCTTATGGTGTGTTTGGTGGTTTTCAGGTCTTGCATATGCTCTTTGAGACAATGAAGGGGAACACGCAGACTCAGCTGTGAATGAAGCCCTTTGTTTACTTGAATGAAAAGCACCTGAGGTTTGTTAGACGTGTGTGTGTGTGTGTGTGTGTGTGTGTGTGTGTGCGCACACTGAGGTCATTTTAATTACCAGAGACCAGTCCAAAGTCACAAAGTCTTCCTCACTTCATCATTCCTGCTGTTTCACTGTCTTTGTCTCTAAAACACTTGTGTACTTGTGTTTTGGTGATTTTAAAGTAATTGTGACTTTATATCTCACAGTGCGGTTCACAATGGCAGCTCTGTTTCTCATAATTGCTTTAAATCACTGTGACTTTGTTTCTTATTATAAATTATTTTATACTTTTTTGTACTTTTTTTTGTAATTTTCTTTAGTTGGGTTTAGGGTGTTTATTCAAATCTCATATTCTATTTTTTCTTTCTTTCTTTGTTTCTTTCTTTCTTTTTCATTCATTCATTCATTCATTCACCCATCCATTTATTTTTAGCTATTTTTTATTAATTCTTTTTAATTTATCTATTTATGTCATCCTATTTTATTGACCTATTTACTGATTTCATTGATTTGTTTGTTTTGTTTTATTTTTTATCTTTTGATTTATCCGTCCATGCATCATCCATCCATTTATTATTTTATTTATCTATTTATTTGTTTCTTCTTTTTATGTATATATTTATTTATTTTATTGATCTATGTATTTACTCATTTATCTCTTTATTCTTTTTATTTACCTATTTATCTATCTGTTTATTTTTTTATTTATGTATTAGTTAACACATTTTTTATAACTCATTTTTTATTCCTTTTACATAGGGCCTAGATGTGTGCATGTGTTCTTAGTCCCATCTTTTTGTAGACATGTTTATCAGCAGATGAACTTGAACACCTCGACTCTGTATTTAGTTTAACTAAGGTGTGTGTGTGTGTGTGTGTGTGTGTGTTCCTGATAAAAGAGACCACAGTGATGACAGACCTCTGCTAAATGTGACGGCACTGTCTGAAATGTGAGTCGCATGGGCGTTGTGTGTGTGTCTTTGTGTGTGGGTCAGGTTTTGCCTATTGTGAGGACTAAAAGGATAGTTCAACCTTAAATCAGCTACATTGAGGGAGACAGAGAGAAAAATGACTTGATAAACATATAAATAATGATTTCAGGAGAATATAAAACTGCGGAAAGGTTTGTGTGAGGGTTACATGTAGGGTTAGGCGATATAAAATATCATTAGCTCAGTGTAAAACAGTGTAAGTCAAAGGAAAGCCCCCACCGTGATAGAAAAGGGTTTCACTCAAACAGTCGATGACCAGCTGTGTGTGCTTGTGTTAAGTGTTACTGTGGCTTTAACACACTTGTGTTGTATGTTTGATTGCCCTGCTGCCTTTCTGATGTCTGTTTGCTCATGACTGAAGTGTGTTTACAGGTAATACAGTTATTTGTAATATTACCTATTTGTATTATCTCTGTGTGTGTGTGTGTGTGTGTGTGTGTGTTTGTGTGTGTGTGTTATGCTGCTCTCTGTTGGCACTGATTGACTGATATTAATGTTGACTGATAATAACAACTACTTCTGCTAGAGCTGATAGTGACAGTTTTGTACTGTACGTAAAGATAAGGGTTGTGTTTGTTTTGTCAGTATCTGGTGCTTGTTTTTGTTGTGACGCTGTTATCTCTGTGTCTTGTTTGGATTGTGTGCCTAGATTTGCATATTCAGAAGTAGTTGACACATAATTTGCCCATGAACCTTTTTTTGTAAATGGCATAAAGATTTTAGGGTAGAGCTCACATTTACGTTTATTCATTTAGCAGAGGCTTTCATCCACAGCAATTTGCCATAGAGTAAAAAATTTTCATAGTATGTATATACAATGCCTGGTTTAGTTTAAAAAATAAATAAATCAAAGAATGATAAAATTAGTGGTCAAATTAAATGCAGAAAAGAAAGTAATAATAATTTTAAAAATTCTCATTCTTATTATTTTTATTATTATTATGTGAATGTTTTCGTTTAAGAAAAAGTGCATCTTAGTTATTGTATCTGGTCTCTGCCCCTCCCCCCCCCTTACATGGTCTTTCTAGTTAACTAGATTGTAAATGATTTTTTTTAAAACGCACAAGTATTCCATGTCGTCTCTGTGTAGTCATTAATGTCATAAACCTGCATGTGTAACATTAATAAAACGATTTGAGCAAAACGTTGTTTAAAATAGTTTTAAATGGAGAAGAACATGTCACACTGCAGCACATGCCAGCTTCCCAAAAGCATTTCATATTAATGGCCACAAACCAAAAATAATACAGTCTGTCCAGTATTACATAATCCTGGTTTATTGAGTCGAGGTGTCAGGACTGATGTCAGACCTTTCAGCAAAGAAAACTAAGAACATTGTTTAATAAGGGAATATTCGCTATTGTTCATATTAGGAACATATTGAATCAACCTCTACAGCTTTTTGGTTGGTGATTTTTAAAATTTTTTTTATGTTTTTGAAAGAAGTCTGTTTTGCTCATTAAGGCTGCATTTATTTAATGAAAAATACAGTAAAAGACGGGATCTGGAGCTGCTGTTCTTACAGGAATATTGCCGAGATTGAGTGTCAGTATGCTGCACGGTGTTTGGTGAGGTGAAGTTTTATTACAGACTATCAGCAGACGTGTATTTTATATTTATATGTCCGTGTGAATGATCTGACACAGTCTTGGGTGTTGAGATGTTCACTTGATGTTAGTGATGGACTGACTGAGGTTTGGCCATTCTGAGTAAATGTTGTGTAAAATAGATGTTTATTTCATTCAGCAGGCTTGTGTGCATCTCAATTGCTGTCATTAAATAGCATTATGCTGCTCTCTGTTGGCACTGATTGACTGATATTAATGTTGACTGATAATAACAACTACTTCTGCTAGAGCTGATAGTGACAGTTTTGTACTGTACGTAAAGATAAGGGTTGTGTTTGTTTTGTCAGTATCTGGTGCTTGTTTTTGTTGTGACGCTGTTATCTCTGTGTCTTGTTTGGATTGTGTGCCTAGATTTGCATATTCAGAAGTAGTTGACACATAATTTGCCCATGAACCTTTTTTTGTAAATGGCATAAAGATTTTAGGGTAGAGCTCACATTTACGTTTATTCATTTAGCAGAGGCTTTCATCCACAGCAATTTGCCATAGAGTAAAAAATTTTCATAGTATGTATATACAATGCCTGGTTTAGTTTAAAAAATAAATAAATCAAAGAATGATAAAATTAGTGGTCAAATTAAATGCAGAAAAGAAAGTAATAATAATTAAAAAAATTCTCATTCTTATTATTTTTATTATTATTATATGAATGTTTTCGTTTAAGAAAAAGTGCATCTTAGTTATTGTATCTGGTCTCTGCCCCTCCCCCCCCCTTACATGGTCTTTCTAGTTAACTAGATTGTAAATTATTTTTTTTAAAACGCACAAGTATTCCATGTCGTCTCTGTGTAGTCATTAATGTCATAAACCTGCATGTGTAACATTTTAAAAAATCGATTTTCTAGTTAATATAATAATAATAATAACATGATGTTGTCGGAACAAAACAGCAACGGCAAGGAGGAAAAACAAATACATCCTGCCCCATTTTTAGCGAGGGCAAGTGTTTGGAAAAATATTACATTAATTATTGAGCTTTGTTATTATGGGAAGTATTTGGAAAGGCACGGAAAATGAACAACATGTTCTATGGAGCCACTAAAGGGACATGGTTAGCTGCTTGGTAGCAGTCGCTTGTTAGATAACAGTACATAAAATTTCACATAAAGAGAGTAAGGAGAGATGACTGATAGGACAAATGCAAATGATTTGCAGATCCTGAGCACCACGGACAAACATCTAATCTTGTAAAAAAGTACTGCCGCCCCATAGTATACACACTTTTGATCGCAATCTCGAAAGTGAAAGTAAAAAGAGATCGTGCATTCAAAAGCGATTTCAATGCCCCTCATATTAATAACGGCTCCCTGATGCCCGCAATTTATATACAGTAAAATTACACAGTGATAAAATTGCAAGAGAAAGTATTTATTTATATATTTTTTAAACTTGTATTTATTCCCTTTAGGGCCTCCGTAGTACATGTCATTTCCTTTCCAAACACTGTATTCAGATTCTGGCACATCCTTAATGGGAAGTGTAAAATATTTTTGATTTATTAGGAAGTTAATAGCTAATAGGAAACACTGATGTCTTGAGTCAGGGCTACCCATACTATAGACGGGTGTGTTTTTGTATCAAAATACTGGTGCATTTGATGTCCAGAGTGCACAAAAATATCATAAAATTAGTGCTGCAACAACTAATCGACAAAATCGATTATTATCGATTATGAAAATCATCGACAACGATTCTCATTATCGATTAGTCGGGTCTGTCCACAGCCGCAATTTATATACAGTAAAATTACCCAGTGATAAAATTGCAAGAGAAAGTATTTATTTATATATTTTTTAAACTTGTATTTATTCCCTTTAGGGGCTCCGTAGTACATGTCATTTCCTTTCCAAACACTGTATTCAGATTCTGGCACATCCTTAATGGGAAGTGTAAAATATTTTTGATTTATTAGGAAGTTAATAGCTAATAGGAAACACTGATGTCTTGAGTCAGGGCTACCCATACTATAGACGGGTGTGTTTTTGTATCAAAATACTGGTGCATTTGATGTCCAGAGTGCACAAAAATATCATAAAATTAGTGCTGCAACAACTAATCGACAAAATCGATTATTATCGATTATGAAAATCATCGACAACGATTCTCATTATCGATTAGTC